GGAGAGGGGCTGCCCCGCGGCGCTCGGGACGGCTGGGCTGCTTGCTGGACGGCCTTCGGAACGCCGGGCCAGAGGCCGAGGGCGCTCTGCACATGCTCGGCAGGGCCGCCAGCCTCCTCCGCCTCCGCCTCCGGGGCCTTTCGGGGTCGGGGCTGCTGCTCCTCCCGGCCGCCCGCCCCCGCCCGGCCCCTCGCAGCCACGTCCCGCGGTCCCTCCCCTCGGCCGGCCAGAAGCGCTCCCGCCCCGGCCCCGCAGCTGCTCCTCGAAGCGCCCGGAGTCCGCCGCCGCGATGTCGCCCGTCCTGCCGGCGCTGCTGCTCGCCCTGCTGCAGCTGAGCCGCGCCCAGAGCCCCTCGGCCGCCCCCGCCGCCAACCAGACCAGGTAGGCCCCTGCGCGCGTCCCGGTCCCGGTCCCGCCGCGCCCCGCTCACCCGTCCGTCCGTCCGTCCGTCTGACTCCCCTGGAAGGGACGGGGCGGTCGCCCCGGGAGGTTTTAGGCAGGCGAGCCGAGCGGCATTCGGGCGTTGCTGACCGGGGCGGCGTGGAAGGGTCTCCGCTGCCGGCCGGGAGCTGAGGCCGGGCTCGCCCAGAGCGGGAAGGGGGCGCCGGGGGTCCCCTCAACCTCCGCCCTCTCGCCGGCAGGCCCGTCTTCCTCTGCGGCGGCGACTACAACGCCAGCAGCGGCTACCTGGCCAGCGAGAGCTTCCCGGAGCACTACCCGCCCAGCAAGACCTGCATCTGGACCATCACGGTAAGGCGCCCCCCCGCCCCCGCCCCCGCCCCCAGCGCCTGCAGAGGGAGGGGGGAGCCGGTCTGACGGCCTCTGCCCTCCAGGTGCCCGAGGGGCAGGTGGTGATGCTCTCCTTCCGCGTCTTCGACCTGGAACCGGACCCCGTCTGCCGCTACGACCGCCTGGAGGTCTTCAACGGGCACGCGGCCCTGGAGTCTCAGCGCCTGGGCCGCTACTGCGGGACCTTCCGCCCGGGGGCCATCCTGGCCACCAGCAACCGGATGCTGCTGCGGATGGTGTCCGACGAAGGGACCGGCGGCCGGGGCTTCCTGGTCTGGTTCAGCGGTGGCCTCCCCCACGTGGACGGTAAGGGCTGCTCTCCCTGGTGGGTGGCTGCCCCACTGCTCCCCACCCGGAACCCCACCTCCACTGAGCCCCAAACTGGGCTGGGGTGACCCTCCAGGCCCCCTCTGGACGGCCCCATCAAGCCAAGGAAGGCGAGGTGGGGAGGGGGGCGATTGGCAGGCCGAGGGTGCTGGCCTTCTGCAGGGAACCGGACGCAGCCGATCCCAGGAATGCCTGCGGCCGAGTCAGGGGAGGCCGGATGGCTCCCCAGATGTTCCCCAGACGGGCTGGGAAGGAGACGGGAGAGTCAGCCGTCCTCAGCCCTCTCTGGGCACCTCCCTCACCATGCCAAGGGAGGGGTATCTCCCAGCAAGGATGCTCTGGCCCTCTCGTCCCTCCCCCCCCCACTGCCTCTGCCAGCCCCAGGACCTTTTTCGGGGCGCCCAAAGGGACGGCAGGAATGGGCTGCCAACCATAAAGGCCCCTGGGCTTTTTGAGAGCCTTGCCCTGTTGGGATGGCGCCTACGGGAATCCCCGCCCCAGGCTACTCCCCCCACCCCCACCTGCAGCCTGGCAGCCCCCAAAGCCTCCGTGGCGTGGGGGGGGAGGGAGTGCTGCTGCTCCACTGCTGCCAGAGGGTCTGAGGAATGGGATGTCCGGCTGGGCTGTAAGGAAAAAAGTGGCAGCCCAGCCGACTAAGCCCCCCCAGTCCTCCTTCCAAGCATTCTTTGCCTCCCACATCCAGCTGGACAAGGCTAAACAGCTTCCCCACTTCCACTTCCGTCCTAACTGGTCATTAGCGAGAATCCTGTGGTCTCCAAAATGAGTGTTTTGCTCTTCTGCTCCCCTCAGCGGCCTCTCTCTGTGCAGCACGCCCCCCTCCCTCCCTCCCCCCTCCCTCCCCCCCCTTCCAGCTGGCAGCCCAGCCCAGAGGCCCTCCTGAGACTTGAGCCAGCATTCTTGCGAGCTCTTCTCCTCTGGCTTCATGGTCTGTCAGTCTAGGTCCCTCCCCCCCCCAAAAAAGTAGGCTGTCCCAGAGGGTTGGGTTGAGTGCCCAGATCACTCCCTGTGCTGTGGACTGGCACCCACGCAGGAATGCCTGCAAACTCAGTTTGACCTCGCTGGCTCTAGAACTGGAGGGTCCCACCCTGGCAACTTTAAGACCTGCGGACTTGAACTCCCAGAATTTTGGGGGGGGGGGTGGAAGCCTGCAGGTCACAGAGTTGCCAAGGCTGGACACACACACACCCCCATCCTAGGCAGAAAGAGGTTCTAGGCGGTTTGCATGTGGGCATGTGCCCACTGGAATGCCTCGATGTCTCTGACTCTTATGAGCCCTGGATCCCTGTGCCTTGGCACACGTATGCATGCAGAGCCCCGGCCTGTGGTTATACACGCGCCTGGCATTGGTTTATAGAACGTGAGAACGTCTGCCCTCAGTTGGGTCGGGCACTTGAACGGTTTGGCCCCCCTCTGGAGCCCCCCAAAACGTGATTCTGCCTGGCCTGGGCGCTTGCCTGATGGTGCAGCATCCGTGGTGCTAAATTCACCCCCATCTATTCAGTTTAGCTGCTGCCGACCCCAGAACAAAGTGGGGGTTTGAACCCAAAGGGGGGGTTCTTGTGGCCCCCTTTCCAGGGCTCTCCAAAACCGGAAGTCGGGGTCTTGCTCCGCCAGCTGCATTAAACACGAGGAATCTCAGATTCACTGAGAGAGAGCAGACATATAAATCTAAATAAATAAATAAATAAAATAAAAAGGAGAACTGCCAGCTCCTTGCCGCCCTGCCACACACCCCTCCCCGCAGCATCGCTTGCTGGAGAAGACCCTGCCGCAGTCCTGGGGGCTCCTCCTCCTTCTCACTAGCCCCCCTTTCTTGTCTTGCAGAAAACCAGTTCTGTGGGGGGAAGCTTGAGAAAGCGCAAGGCTCTGTCAAAACCCCCAACTGGCCCGACAGCGACTACCCGCCTGGCATCAGCTGCTCCTGGCACATCATTGCCCCACAGGACCAGGTAAGGCCCTCCCCTTTGCTCCGGGCAGAGAACTGCCAGCCCTCCATCCCCATCCCTAACGCTGAGGAGGAGCGGGAGGATGACCCCTCGGATCTCCCCTGGCCCAGGTGATTGTCCTGACTTTCGGGAAGTTTGATGTGGAGTTTGACACCTACTGCCGATACGACTACGTGGCCGTCTTCAACGGCAGGGAGCAAGACGACTCGCGCCTCGTTGGCAAATTCTGTGGAGACAAGTCCCCCAGGTAGGTCGGCCCTGCCCAGGCTTCCCAGGTTAAACCTGGCCTGAAGCAGTTCTGGAATTGGAGCCAACAAATTCCATGTTGTATTCACACGTGTGTCAGAAAAAACTGGCGACTCTGTGGTCCTGCTCATGGGAGCTGGAGATCCCCCTTTTCCGCCAGCTTAAGGGGCCTTCTCATAAATAAATGGGTTCCTCCTTGGCACCCAGGGCTGCCCTCGCCCCAAAAGGACTCCACGCACGCAGCCCAGTTCAGACTGGCAGGGCTGGTGGGTGCTTCTTCCCGGCCTTCCTCCCAACCTCTCCCGCAGCCTGATCCGCTCGGATGGCAATGAGCTCCTGGTCCAGTTTGTCTCGGATCTCAGCGTGACGGCCGACGGGTTTTCTGCCTCGTACGTGATGAAGGGTCGCGATGAGCCGGTGGACACCGCCAGGGCCCAGCCTGCGATCCCCGTATTCCCCGGCTCCAAGCCCACACAGGCCAGCAGGAAGCCGGTCCCCGCGAAGCCCAAACCTGCCGCCAAGCCCGCAGTCCCACCCAAGCCAGCGCCACGCCCCAAACCGACGGCCCAAGCCCTTCCTGACGCTGCAGGCCCCACAACTCCCACCGCAGGTAAGAGCCCTGGAGAGCAGGGGGTTGTTTTGCTCCCAGCCTGGCCCATGTTCTGAGCCCAGGAGGGGCAGGTGGAAGGCGCTGGTGCTGAAGCCGGTCTGGACCAGGGAATTGGAGAAGAGCCAGAACATGTGCAAAGTGCCGGCCTTCTAAACAGTGAAGCTGTGCAGTGGCAAAGAGGGTCACTGGCCTTTTCTATCTGCTCCTCTCCCGTCTCCCTCCAGGTCAGGTCACCTGCCCGCAACGCTGCAAGCGGACAGGGAATATGCAGAGCAACTTCTGCGCCAGCGATTTTGGTGAGTGCCCTACGGTCACCTTCCCAGGGCAGGGAGATCTGCCTGCCTTCCATCTCCCAAGCTTGCCAGCGCCAGGAGCCATCGCACAGTAGCCCCCAGTGGTGGGAGCCAAGTCGTCTCAGAATTGTAGGGGAACACCGCAATGTCCCACAATCTCTGCTGCACGGCCCCTCCTGTCCCCAGGCAGAGGCCACCCTCACTGCCAGCCTCTCACTCTCTCCCCAATGTCCCACCGGCAGTGATCACTGGCACCGTCAAAGCACTCCTGCGAAGAGAGGGGAACCGGATCACGGCCACCGTGACGCTCACCCACGCCTATAAGTCGGGGCTCTTGAGCCTCCCTCCGGAAGGAACCGAAGCCACCCTCCGCCTGGACGTGCCCTGCAGACAGTGCCCCATTCTCAAGAAAGGTGAGAAGGCCGGCAGGCCACTTCCTGAGAGCTTTCTGCTCACAAGCGGCCCCTTCACACTCTGCACAGCTACACAACATTCACGTGCGGGAGAAGTGCCCGAAATCCCGGCGTTCCCCTGCTCTCTCCTTGCTAGCACGAAATTTGGCGAGGGAGTCAGGCCGCCTCGTTCTCTGCCTCCAGCTCATCCCTCTTTCCTCCGCAGGGGCCAACTATGTCTTCATGGGCCGGGTGGAGGCCGACGGAACCGGGCAGCTGCCCCCCACCAGCTTCGTGGTGCCCTTCCGGCCGCAGCAGCAGCAGATTCTCACCAACCTCAGCAAGCGACCCTGCGCCGCCCGGGCGAGGAGGAACCGCCGCTGAGGGGCCTCCCTCTGCTCCTTGGCTCTGGGGCTCTGGCCCTCCAAGCAGCAGCAGCAACAGCACCATGTAACCAATAAATGGGCAGGGAGGCAGTTCACGGACTCCAGGGTGGGGAACGGCACCTCTCGTTCCACGTTGTTCACACCCACACCGCGGCGGTCTTAAAGGTATTTTTACACAGACGTGGCAGCCTTTGTTGTTTGGCAACCTTGCCTCCCTCCGCTGTCCGACATTATAGATGCAGCCCCCACCAGGGAGATGCCTAATTGCTTAGGTGCAGGTGTGTGTGTGTGCCTGGAAAAGCCAGGCGGGGAAAAAGGTGGTTCTGGCTGCCATCCCCCCCCCCTGCCCTCTCCACCCCCAATTTGCTACTCCAGTTCCCAAACGTGTTTCTGAGCTGTGGGATCCTGGCCCAGGGGTGGCCATCGAACTGGACCAGCCTGGGCTCCGATCTGTCTGGCAGCTTCGGGGCAGGCAGTCTGGCTGCAGAAACGGGCCGGGCCCTTGGCCAGCCTGCCTCTTCCACGTCAGCCCTGTTTCTCCGGCAGCGGCCTGGATGGGAAGCTGCAGCCTGGCATTTCCTTGGCCCCCGAATCCTCGGGGCTGGAGCCCACGGCTTTGCCCCAAAGGCTTCTGTTCCCTGTTCTTTTGGCAGGTGGCCTCCCCCAGCTACCCCCCCGACCCCCAAGAGCAGCTTTCCAAAGTGTTTCTCCTTGGCTTTGGCCCCTGGGTGGGGTGGGGGGCTCAGTGGGGGCCAGGCTGCAGGAGGGAGGGGGCGGAGGCTCAGGGAGAGAGGGAGTTTGAGCTTCTTCCTCCCACCCTGGTTTGGCCCACCACGGCACTTGGGCTTCCCCAGGGAGCCCTGGCAGTGGGGCAGGGGATAAAGTGCTGCTTTAGAGAGGCTGCCTCTGCCCCAAAGGCCTGGGCCAAGACCAGGAGGCCCAGAGGCTGCCCCTCCCTCCCCTATTCCCCTCTGAGGCTTGGAGAGCAGGGCCTGAGCGCCCCCTGGTGGCGTAGGTGGGGCTGGTGAGAGCCAGCGAGGCCCTGGAGTGGCCCAGCCGTCCTGAAGTCGCCCTGCCAGGCCTCCAGCCAGGGAGAGCAGGGCCCCGGCTGTCCTTCACCTGGGTGGGGTGGGGGTGGAGAGCGGAGGGCCCCCAACAATCTGGGGCGGGAGGGGGGCTTTCTAAAAACGGGGGGCGCTGGAAGGTCCCGGCCCCCCACCTTGGGGCAGAGAGAACTGGGCTTCTAGTCAGCAGCAGCGTTTATTTTAATTTAATATTCCAATTTTGAGGCTGCTGTTGCTGGCGCTGCTTGCCAGTATGGTCGGCGGCTTCGGGCTGCTACCGGGACGAGAGCCAACCTCGGGAAGGCTTTGCTGCCTCTGACAAAAGGCTCCCCGGTGCCCTTGCAAGCTGGCAGACTCGGGTCGAACCCTCCAGCATCTTCTTCATGCAGCCCCCCAGCTGCGTTGCTGCTCCATCCCGGCTCCTGATGATCATCCTGTCCTGGGGAGGCCTGGACACCTGCGTGACGGAAACTGCCACCCTTGGACCGATCGTGGGCAGCCTCTGCCTGGCTCTGCTGCCTCCAGTTTTGGCACGGCCACCGCAGAAACACGGCCCAAAGACCCCCGAGGGGACCTTTTCAGGAGGGGGGCTAGCCGACTGCGCCCACCTTCCTCCAGGGGCACAAGAGAGAGCCTTGCCTTCCCAGGGCAGGGCAGCCGCAGACAGGCCGAAGGGACCCCGGAGGAAGGGGGAGGTGCTGCTGGGGTTTGTGTGCCCTCACGCTGAAGCCGAGAGTGTCTTATGGAGGCTAAGCCCCCTCCCCCCAGGGTGTGGTTGTGCCTCATGGTCCACACACAGGCTGGCGGTGGCGGCCAGTCCCTGCTCTTTTGACCAGTGTCAACACGTTTTATTTTTTTTCTTTAGACGTTTGGTCCCCAAAGACATTCAGCCCAGGAGCATCCGGTCACTCGCCTTTTCCCTTCTGCCCCCCCCTTTTGAAGACCCCGTTCAGCCCCTCGTCCTCCTCCCCCCCCGCCTGGCTCAGCAGAGGCTGCATTTCTCTGTGCTTGTGGTTTATTTATTCCCCATGGTTCAGGGTGAAGTCTTCTCTATCTGTCAATCATGATCCTTGATGCGTATAAGGGAAGGGTAGTATCGGGGGAGGGAGGAAAGGGGCCAGGGGGAGCCGCGGTCCGTGAGCCAGCTGGACGGGGGCAGCTTCCCGCAGTTCGGCCGCCCTCTGGATCATGTCCAGAGCCTCCCAGAAAAAGTCCTTCTGGAACGTCATGAGGGGCATGCTGCCCACGGCCTCCTTCATCTTGGCCATGCGCCCCTCCAGCGTGGGGCACTTGTGCAGCTGGCTGAGGTACTCTTCGCAGGTCCGAGCGGCCAGGGCCTCCGAGTCGCTGGGGGCCACGCCAGCCTTGCTGGCCGGCAGCTCCCGGTAGGCGGGCACCTCCTCGATGTCGTGGCTGGACAGCATGTAGAGGCACTCCCGGGTGGAGCAGATGCGGCGGGCACACGGCGGCACCTGTGCGGGGGCAGGGGAGGGAGGGAGGGCGCTCAGGAAGGCCTGGGGAAAGAGGCTGCCGCCCGAGGCCCAGCAGGGAGGGAGGGAGGCTGAGCCCGTCTCCCGGCCCCTCTCACCTTGATCTGCAGCCGGACAAAGGAGGCACTGCCCTTGGGCCAGCCTGGCAGACGCCCCCCTGCTCCACAGCCGCAGCCCATCAGGTCCTTGCTGAAGTCCCCGCTCTGGCTCAGCACCAGCGTGTGGTTCAGTCCACACCACAGGTCGATGGGCCATTTCAGGTAGTGCACCTGTGTGGGAGGAGGGGGAGGGGGAGGACAGGGCGTTGGAGCAGGGCCCAGGGCTCTACTCCCCCCCCCAACACACACCCACACCCAGAGATGCATTTCCTACTCCAGGCAGAAAGCCGGCCCAAGATTAAGGATCCCCCCTCTGGCTGTCATTCTGGAAAGCTCTGACATCGCACAGGCAGTTCCCGGCTGCGGAGGGTGGGAGGGAGGGAATGGGAAGGGGGGGCTGTTGGCCAGACAACACTGGGGACACCCAAAGCCAACAAGAGCCAGAAGGACGCCGCATGGGAGAGAAGCTTGGGGGGGGGATAAGAACCCGCTTGGCTTGCAGACCGAAACCTCACCGTGCTGAAGACCCCCGGGGAAACGGGACGGGGGAGGTCAAACTATACCTGGGCAGGCTCCCCGCGGTCTATCTTGTCCCCTGTGCCCAGCTGACCGTAGCGGTTATTTCCCTGCATGAAAATCCGTCCAAATTCATCGACCAGACCCAGGTGGTTGTAACCCAGGGCGCAGCTGAGCACCTGTGGAGAGAGGCGGCCAGCTGAGGAAGCCTGAGTCAGACTGGGGGGGCCAAATGGGGCAGGAAAGGCAGCTTTGGGGGGGGAGCAGCAGTAGGAAAGTCCCTGGAGGCTACCCAGAGTGAGCATCTTGGCTCTACTGCTAGAAGGATGCCTCTGAGCTTTTTCCCAGGAGCTGCAAGTAGGGATGGGGGGGTGAGATGTGGGCGACCAAGTTAATTTTCAGGTCACCTCCTTAAAAGTGCAAATCAGGGGCTTAACTGTCCCGGTTCCCCTTGGGAATGGTTGCCTCACTAAGAAACCAGTGTGGAAGCAGTGGTGGACCAACACACACCCCCCAGGACCCAGAAAGGGGAGGGGGCACAGGACTCCGCAGGGAAGGGAGGTGAGGACGAGTAAAACCTGGGCCTTTTCCTTGCTTCCTCTCCCCCCCCATCCAGAATCTGTCCTTCTCGTGCCAATTTCACTGCAGGTTCTTTTGTGTGCCAGCCAAGCTCCGGCCGTGGTGCCAGGCAAGCCAAGAATTCCACCTGCGCGTTACCTTAGCCGGGAGAGAAAGGGCCAGGGGCATCTGCTGGTCAAGAGGGTCGAACGCATGCAGGGTGCCAAAGAGATCGCGGTAAACGCCAGGCGAGTGGACCTCGAAGTAGACGGTGCCCTCGTCTGGGGTGGGGAGAGAGGCCCACGGTCGGCCCAGGCCCAGCGCCAGAGAGAAGCAGCCCGTGTCGGGAGGAGGGGACAGAAGGGCTGGGGCCCGATTCTCTGGCCAGGCCTTGATTTGAAGTGCTCTCTCTTTCCCTCCTCCCCCTCCACTGCTCGCTTCCAAGCCCACGGATCTCCCCCCACCCCCGTTTCCAGCCCTATTGCTTCAGGCTGCAGCCAGGACTAGCGCTCCTTTCCCCTCCACGCCTGCCGTGCTCAGCAGGAGCTGCCCCCTTCCCAGGCCGTGCCAGCTGCTTCTCATCGTCCACCTCAACCCAACCATTGCACCCGGATGCCATACAGCCCCTGGGTTCCTGTTAATGCTACAATTTATTTTTAAAAGACCCAGATAGGGCTACCCGTCTCCTATAATCCTCCCAGGCAGCTCACGGCAGTCAAGAAAAGCGGATTTTAAAAAAAAGAAATCGCTCTTCCCGCTAGGCTAGCCAGAGCGGTCAGGCCCTAGCAGGGCCGGCCGATGAGGCCTCTGGCAGAAGGTCCGGCGTGGCAGCCGCCCTCTGGCCCTTACCTGTGAGGTAGACGGCGCTGCTCTGGTTGGAGTGCATGTGGCGGACGGAGAGGTGCGGGAGGCACTTGGAGACCTTGCGCAGCGCCAGCTGCACCTTGTAGGAGCGGGGCTGGTCCAGCTGGGTCTCGTTCACCACCAAGCTGTAGATTTTCCCGTCCTCTGTGAGGAAAGAAATTCCGCCCTGGCAGGTGATGGCCGGGAAGAGCGTCTCGTTGCCTTCGCACACGCCAGGGGAGGCCGGCCTCGGCCAGGAAGGTGCCAGGCTCGGCTGTCAAGCCAGTTGCTCACTTCCTTTCACAGCCAAACGGACTCGGCGCTTGTGGGAAAGCAGCCGATCTGACCCCTGTTGCACTCTGGGAAGGACCCCCTCTGGAGCACCTGGGCTCCCCCCCGTCTCCCGCTCCTCGTTCTCACCCGTCAGGAGCAGCAGGGACCTTTCAGTCTCTTGCCCCACCAGCACGATCTGCCTGAACTTCAGGGCGAAGTGGAAGGTCATCTTGAAGACCTGCTGCCCGCTGGATTGCCGGTACACCTCCACACAGTCACAGAGGCGGCGGCCGGGGGCCGGGCCAGGGCCCTCGCTGCGCCCCGAGGCAGGGCTGGAC